TTTTTAAGTAAGTTTTTAGTTATGCTATAGATTTAAGTTACAACTTTATTACAATATTTTCATTACTTGGAACTTTATTTCAAAATAATATTTTCAAAAATGGCAGTTGTTGGCCAGTAGCTTGGGAGCGATTGTGGCGCACCGCGCCATTAATTGTCCTGAGACCCCCTTATGATGTCATCAAAAGTGGAGTGACATGGGCCTGCCTATTCCATTTCCATATCCTCCCACATGCCTTATTGATCTCCCCGACTGCAGAGCCGCCTGGTGGTACGTCCTTGGTAACCATACGGGGGCAACTTTGTAGTTCTTCTTCTAATGCCAACCCGCCTTGACGCGCAGTTAAGTACACACATGTCAGTTCTTGGCGCATATGTGCAGAATACAACGCGTTTATCATAAATTACGCTTCTTTGCGTGCAAGAAAACGCTAAATATGTATCAATTATTATCATGCATCACGATCTACGCAAGGAGGATGCTGATGGAAGGAATAGCCAATCATGAAAGACTCGGGGCCTCGATTATCGGGAAAGAGGGAAAAGGGCCACCAGGGATAACGTGAGCCTAATCTAACCTAACCTAACCTAACCAGTAGTTCCCCTCCCACCTTTTTTCGTTAAGGATCAGACCTTGCCCGTACTTCGGCCGGAGTAAGTGCAGGAGCTAACCATAGACCCCATAGACCATAGTCAAACCAGATGCGGTCCAAACCAATTTTCCTCGCTGGGCGTAAACTTGTAACGTACCCATGCGTATGTAATATAAGGCCAGGTGCCTGTATAAATATAAAATAAAGAACACACGCGGTTGCCGAGGGGACGTCCCCCGGATTCCTCGACAGTGGGGACGCGTCCCCCTCCCCCGCCGGCCGCATTCGACAACCATGCATGTCATTCGAAACGTATCTTTGTATTCATTCATTACATTTAGATATAGAAGCATGCATTATTCGATACAAGTTAATGCTATAATCTGTGCCATAGGAATGATTCGACCGGTGCATGAACTTTATAGGCGACGCTCCCCTCTACAAATCGTGAAATAACGTTTTATATTATTCATTCAATGTTGTACCGGCCAACGAAAGAGAGGCTGATTCCCAAAGGAACATTGATTTGTGTGACAGCTCTCTTGCAATGTAGTTACGTTTGGAATTGGCACTACCTATAAAAGAAGGCACTTTTCTATTCTGCTGGCATTCCGAAGCCGCCGCATCCGGCAGTTCAGCTCAGGCAACCAGCACACCTCTGATACAGTTCCTCTCGTCATGTCCGTCCGAGCAGTGAGGAACGCCGTCACACAGCGTCTCCACGGGCAGACAGCGGCCGTCGCAGCGGTACTCGCCGGTCGTGCACTGCTCCGTCCGCGAACAGCCGTACTCCTCCGACTCGTCCGAGTTGTCGGCGCAGTCCTTACGACCGTCACACGCGTAACACGAGTCTATACAGCGGGGCTCACCGCTCAGGCACTTGAACTGGTCCGTGCGGCAGCCAGGAGGAGGCGGCGGCGGTGGCGGCCGGGGGGTAGTGGTCGTGGTTGTGGTGCATCCCCACTCGTCAGAACCGTCCGAACAGTCCCAGCGTCCGTCGCAGCGGAGCCGATTGTCCACGCACCGGTCGTCGCAGCGGAACTCGTAATAGAAGCACGGACGTGGCGTTGTCGTTTGTCCCGGGCAGTCTACCTCGTCACTACCGTCCACACACTCCACTCCGCCATCACACCTGTAGCAGTAAGGAATGCAGCGGCCGTCCTCTATACACCTGAACTCATCCCGGCGACATCCGGGCGGGGGCGGCGGGGGCGGCCGGGGCGTGGTGGTTGTGGTGGTTGTGGTGCATCCCCACTCGTCAGAACCATCCGAACAATCCCAGCGCCCGTCGCAGCGAAGCCGATTGTCCATGCACCGGCCATCACAGCGAAATTCGTAGTACGTACAGGGCTGCGGGGTGGTTGTGGTAGTGGTTGTGGTGCATCCCCACTCGTCAGAACCGTCCGAACAATCCCATCGCCCGTCGCAGCGACGGTTCAGATCGAAGCACCGGCCATCACAGCGAAATTCGTAGTACGTACAGGGCCGCGGAGTGGTTGTGGTAGTGGTTGTGGTGCATCCCCGCTCGTCAGAACCGTCCGAACAATCCCAGCGCCCGTCGCAGCGACGGTTCAGATCGAAGCACCGGCCATCGCAACGAAATTCGTAGTACGTACAGGGCCGCGGAGTGGTTGTGGTCGTCGTGGGGCAAAACCTCTCGTCCGTGCCGCTGGGGCAGTCGGCTCTGCCGTCACAGAGCTGGCGGTTGTCCAGGCAGCGGCCGTCACAGCGGAAGCGGCCGTCGCCGCAGCGCTCGGCGCAGCCGTGCGGCTCCGTCTCGTCACTGCCGTCCGGACAGTCGGCGCGCGTGTCGCACGTGTAGCAGTCCTCGATGCAGGTGCCGTCCAGACAGCGGAACTCGCCCGGGCCGCAGCCGAGACCGCCGACTGCTTGGCGCGCTCTTCGGCTCGGAGGATGGTCCGAGCCGTCTTGCACAGCCACTCTTCCGAGAGCAGGCACGCTGACGGCTAGCAGCAGAGCCGTCAGCAGGTGCACTCTCATGGTCGCTACGGTTGTTCTCTGTCTCCCCTTTTCTATCTTTTTCACGTTCTCACTCAGTCTTTTCCCTCTCTGTCGGTGTGAAACTGGACGGTATCGGCAGCCCGGTGGTTCTGGTGGCCGTGCCGGGAGGCCGCCGTCGGCCGACTGAGTCAAACGGCGGCCACGACAGACGGCGGCCCGGCCCGGCAATCGCTCATCCAGAGTCCAGACGTGTCAGCGAACCTAGCGACCGGACCAGACCACCCGAGAGCCTTGACAGGACGTTTTTTAACCCCTGACGTCTACCGAGGTGTAGTCATTGCATCGACTATACAGTAGGTATACACTTATCCCTTCGATGCAATATCTCGAACAGCTTTTCCTACCAGTGGCAATTTTTTCGTTTGAAATATTGGTTTCGTCACTCTAGGGTTATCCCGCCGACCATTTTCTGAAATAAAATAAATAAACAGTAACAATCGACCACCCTCCCCTATTAGCAACCGCTTTCTTGCCGGTCAACAAAAATTCGAGGCTAAAGAGCTCCACCATCGCTAACCACAGTCCACATCACGCTCACTGGCCACGAACGGCGATTTCCCGCGGGGAAAATCGGTTAGATCGCTCCTGAAGGCGACATATTATTGAATAAACGATTATAGACCAGTGCTTTGATATCTTTTTAACCAACACCTAGTTGGTGGTCTTGAGTTTTCCGTGTCGTGCTGGGGGGGGGGGGGGCATTTCAACGTCCCCCGTCTAGCTCGGCCACGTAGCGACACGCGGTAAGCAGCATTCGAAAGAGCGTCAAAAATAATGACGGAAATTCTCAGTCATTTTTATGTAAGGTCAAAGGTCAGGCCATTAAAGGTCACCAAAGGTCAAATTTTACCTATTTCAACAATTTTCGAAAACCTGGCGCAAAGCTTGGCAACCAATAGAGCCAGTAGCGGCGGCACACCCTCAATTAAGGGGGTGGGGGGCACTGCCGACTTTTGGTCCCATTCTTTCCATGCAACGCCCATAGGGCTAATGTTAAAATGCAAAAATCAAAGGGGGGCACGGTGCCCCGGTGCCCTCCCCGTTCCGCCGCTTATGAATAGAGCTAGAGCGCCGCGAAAAAGCGCATTCGACAGCTCCTTCAGCGTTCTTTCGCTAGCCTGCCCTCAGATTTGACCTCAGGTCAACAGTTTAGCCCCGGCCAGAGGGCAAAAACTAAAAAATGGCGTTTTTACGAAAAATGTTTTTATGTAATAACTATTGATTCCAGAAAGGCACGACGTTGCTTTTGCCAGCATTGTGTTCCTCTCGTCAGACGCGTCGAATGAACTAAGTTGACTTTGAAAGGTTATTTAGAAAATTTGACCCCAGGACAAGGTCATGATCTGACCGGAAAAGGTCATGTTATATATCAGTCGATCCGTATCGTCGAGCTGAACACATCTTAGGCGTTTTCACCGCTCTAGCATCTCGCTAACAAGTTAATGCAAAAAAACTGTTGGGGACCTTTCATGACCTGAGATGACCTCAGGGACACAAAGAGGGGTCGCAGTTGCAATTGTTTTATTCAACGTGTCATGTTTACCCATAAACTGGTGTTGTTTGAGAGTGTTTAGAATGACGTTCATCCAAAAGAAGCGCATTTCAATTTTCTCCCATTGACTTACCTTGACCAGACCTTAGCCCGCATATATCGAAATTCCGGGATGCCTATACATTTCATAAATACCGTTACTCTGATCAATCGCTAAAAGTTTCAAAGCGATCATTCAGTCGGTGTACTCGTAGCTATAGCGAGCATTGGAACTGTTAATGAGGTAAAGTCATTGACCATGAGTGACCTGGTAACCTGACCTTGAACGATCCGCGTCTGAAATTTTCAAGATATGTGCAGAAAAGATGTATGAACTAGTGTTCTAAAGTTTTTGATATATTGTGAAAATCCTGACGGGGGCGCAAATCCACCCCCCCCCCCCCGCCAGCACGGCGCCCTCGAGCAAAAACAAGGCGCTCGGACGTTGCGGGTGCGTTCGCGGTATGCCATTGTGACAAACATGCCCGTCACATGTGCTCCACTCCATCACCGCATCACGCAAGCACGACTCCCCACCTCGTGGGAGGGCGGCTTAAGGTGACAAACGCCACCGGCCGCTGACCACAGTCGCTTCGTTTATGCGGGGATGGCGAGTGACGACGGGTGTTTATTGACACACAGTCGCACAAGACGCAGATATGGCGCAGCTGGCAGAACAGAGGTGTCGCCTATTTCAAAAATGAGTGGCGGACTCAGTGTGATCCGAGAGACGGGCGGCGCAGCAGGGCTGAGAGAGCCGGCGCCTGGTGCGCGCGCTGCGGCAAAACGACAAAAGCGGACGTGATCCAAGTTCCAAAGTCAGTTTACTAAGGTACTGCTACAAAGGTGGCGACCATGAGAGTGCATCTGCTGACGGCTCTGCTGCTGGCCGTCAGCGTGCCTGCTCTCGGAAGAGTGGCTGTGCAAGACGGCTCGGACCATCCTCCGAGCCGAAGAGCGCGCCAAGCAGTCGGCGGTCTCGGCTGCGGCCCGGGCGAGTTCCGCTGTCTGGACGGCACCTGTATCGAGGACTGCTATACGTGCGACACGCGTGCCGACTGTCCGGACGGCAGTGACGAGACGGAGGCGCACGGCTGCGCCGAGCGCTGCGGTGACGGCCGCTTCCGCTGTGACGGCCGCTGCCTGGACAACCGCCAGCTCTGTGACGGCAGAGCCGACTGCCCCAGCGGCACGGACGAGCTCGGCTGTAGGCCCGTCACCACGACCACAACCACTACCACAACCACTCCGCGGCCCTGCACGTACTACGAGTTCCGCTGTGACGGCCGCTGCGTGGACGATCGACTCCGCTGCGACGGACGCTGGGACTGTTCGGACGGTTCTGACGAGTGGGGATGCACCACAACCACTACCACAACCACTTCGCGGCCCTGTACATACTACGAGGTCCGCTGCGACGACCGGTGCTTCGACGTAAGGCATCGCTGCGACGGACGCTGGGACTGTTCTGATGGGTACGACGAGAGATTCTGCACGACGACCACAACTACGACGACGACCACTCCTCGACCCTGCACGTACTACGAGTTCCTCTGTGACGGCCAGTGCATGGACAACAGCCGTCGCTGCGACGGCCGGGTCGACTGCTCGGACGCGTGGGACGAATGGAGCTGCGAACCTCGCACCACCACGCCACGTCCGTGCTTCTATTACGAGTTCCGCTGCGACGACAGGTGCGTGGACAATCGGCTCCGCTGCGACGGACGCTGGGACTGTGCGGACGGCTCCGATGAGTGGGGATGTCGACCATCGACGACCACAACCACCACCCCAAGGCCACCGCCGTCGCCCGTCCCTGTGATCGGCTGTCGCACGGACCAGTTCCAGTGCCTGAGCGGCGAGCCTCGCTGTATAGACTCGTGTTACGCGTGTGACGGTCGTAAGGACTGCGCCGATAACTCGGACGAGTCGGAGGACTACGGCTGTTCGCGGACGGAGCAGTGTACGACCGGCGAGTACCGCTGCGACGGCCGCTGTCTGCCGGTGGAGACGCTGTGTGACGGCAATGAGGACTGTTCGGATGGATATGACGAGAGGGACTGTATGAGAGCTGTGCTCTCTGCCTGAGCTGAACTGCCCCACGCAGCCGCGCTGGCTGGCGCGGCGAAACTGTAGTAGCTGCTAATTTCTCACGAGGACCGCGCATGCTTTAGTTTAAGAAAACTCAGCTTGTAAGGTATTTAAGACAGTAGGACATTTCATTCAAAGTTTAGTCGATAAAAGAATATTTTTACGTAATACCTACGAAGTCAAAGTAACGTTTATCTTTACTTCGTGTGAATGGCCTCGCAATCGGACGCATATTTTAGTAGCTGTACCTACTCTGTATTTTCATAATAAATACAAGTTTCATCAACGAGTGTGATACACAATAACCGACGTGCGCCAGTAAGACGCCTTCTGGAGCAGCAAAAACGCGAGCGCATCAGCTGACCCTGCACGTATGCAGTGCGCCAGTGTGACATGAGATCTTAATTTAACCGACTTGGTTTGTCAGGGTCGAACTTCCAGCCAGTCCCCAGAAGTGCAGGTACCCGATTTATGCACAATCGGTCCAACCGTTGTTGAGCTATAGAAGCGACCTCTGCATGCAGTAGCACCCCCAGCCGTGATGCATATGTAGAAAAGCATAAACCGTTAGGTGTCCAACGAGAGGCCAAGCTTTAGCGTATTCGATTCGGTCAAAGCGGAGTTATGAGCGGAACAATCTTGACACCAATCATTTGGCATGTGACAGGTGACGTAGTGGCTACCAAAATCCACCAACAGTAGGCAGTGGTAGACGGGGAAACATGACATTAATGAGCCGTTACACGGCGAGGCGGTGCAGGAGCTGGCCGCACCGTCCATGCGCTCTGGAGTGGACGTCACAGGTCAGAATCGCTGCACGGACTCAGGACGCCGTTAGCCGGCGCCATGCCCGTTTCCACGCCTCAGCACAGTAGGATGCACTCGAGTTTCTCATATACCCCTCGACTCTTATGCAACGGCGTATGGAGATATAAAAAGTCCAGCGTCCAGTTTCCCTCCAGAATTTGGACGCGTCGCCGTACGTGGCAAGCAAGGATGCGCACCAACAGCATCACAGGTCTCACCTGTACGGTGAGGTAAGCCAGTTCGGCTCCATGGACAGTGGCCGCTACACGGCCTTGGCCGCGCACCCAGCACGGACAGATGGCACAAGTATGACGACCACGAGGTGACTGTATAGTGAGTAGATTGAATAGAAGAGGCGAGCAAAGTTCGGCCGGCTACACACCCTTCTATTCGTGAGGGTAATGCGAGTTTGCTGCGGGACTGTAATAACTGTTGAATGTTTTTTTAAGCGTGGTAATAAATATCATGTTAATATCTTTGAATGTGAGAAATAAAGAATACGGCCAACAGCCGAGGGTAAAGGATGTCGTGGCGCTGTGCAGACGCGAGGAATTTCAGAACAGCTTCTAACTGTGGGAAGTTCGCCACAACTATCAAATATCAAGCTCACAGCAACCTGGCATATATTTACGGTGGCATCCACACTGACGATAACAAAAACACGACAATGTAAATTAAAGCACGCCTTGTCGATGTAAAATGATGTAAATAAAAAACGGCGCAGTGCCTGAGTGTTTGTGTGTATGTGAATGTGTTTGTGTTTGTGTGTGTGTGTATGCGCGCCAAAATGCAGTGTTTACTGCTTATCAAATGACTTCTATATGACTGTGATTGTATCACAGGCACAAATCACCAGCTGACACAAGGAGCGGACACAAAATCACCAGCGGTTACATCACAGTGGTACAGAAATGCAGCAATCGTCTTTGTTGATCCCTTAGTCTAAAATCGTTATAAAATCGTTAATCGCTAGCCGATAGTCGTTAAATCGTTATTAAGTTTAATCTGATACGTAATTTAAATGTATCCGATTTGACATAATAACGATTTAACGAATAACCGTTTACGATCGATTTTAAAACGATTTTAGGCTAAAGATGTAACGAAAGCCACTGCTGATTTACTTTCCTAGCCTGTCCTAGTTCATGAACAGCGGTATATTCATCACTTCTTTAGATAGCTGGTGATTTTCGCTTGCCGTGAGACGGTCCGGGCTCTGGAAGTCTCGCTGATGACCTCGAACCGCGCGAACTGCTGCGTCGCGTCCCCAGAGTCGGCGGCGGCGGCGGGCGCCGACCGGCCGGCAGCGACCGCCGAGTCGGAGTCAGAGTCGGTGCGCCGCCTCACGCGCTTCACGCCGTTGGTCGCCTCAGACTCAGTGCCGGCGGGCTGCCTGTCCTCGATCTGCTCCGGCTCCTGGCGACACAGCGAGCGGCAACCGGATCATCGGGCGGTCCGGCTCACTTCCAGTTGCAAAACAGGGATTTGGGGGAGCTGGTTGAACACTGAGGGACGGCCAATGACATTTTGAGCTGAAAATGCGGTTTCACGTCACCCCCTTCACTCAAAAAAGCAAATCGGTTGGCTTCACTAGATTTGCACAAATTCATTATATTAAATAGATACAATCGTGACAAACTTGATAACAAGACCGAAGCAATAGCGAATCGCCACGGCAAATTTTTTCCATACGATTCAATCGCATCTCATTTACTTAACGAGTATATCGCAACTCTATCCCAACTAAGCTGCTCCAAAATAGTGATACGCTCGCTCGCTAGGTTGGTGATACGCTCAACCCACGACTCAACTCAATTCAGTTAGTAATATGTTATCTCTAATAACAATATGATATCACATACCACATACAACTGTCTACCAGTTCATTGTCGAGCGAAATTACCCAGCTCCAATTTAGGTACAAGCATGTCTTCCAAAATATAACTAGACTCGAGTCCGATGAAATTGGAAGGAGGTCGAGTTCCGATTTATCCAAGCTCCAAACTCACTCTCCGTTTGTATTGAATGACTGTATAAAATCTGCACAGCGATTGAATAATTTTGTCGAAAAAAAAATCAACTAAAATGAGTTACTGGTTAAACCATTTTGCACATCTAAGGTTCATATTAGGTGTACAACTACTTCCGTCGTGATCTATACTTTTTCAACCGTCTCAATCTCAGTCGGTCAAACCTTTCGTCCTATTCAAGTCATTTGATTTTATTCAGAGCTGAATCGAAAATGCATTTATAATTAATTGGAAGTTCCTCATTGAAGAACTTCGAAGAGCTGAATCGCTTGGAAGTCTGGGTTCCACAGTCCAAACTCAACAGCATAACCCGTAGCCTATACAATATACAAAAATCGCACTGATCGTGCAATATTGGCCAGATTCAAAACGGATAAGTTGGAGAGAGTTAAACCAATCATGTTCGTAATATATAAAAAGAGTCGCACAAAATATCCAACTATCCAAAATGGTGCTAATGATGATGCCAAACCGCTCCATAAAATACTGCCGACGTCTGATACAGTAAAACAGTGGCTGGTGGGGCGGCCTTGGATCACTGACTGGCAGTCGGTACGGGTGTGTTTGTTTAAACGGCCGGCGCCTGTCTCAGACCAGTGTGCCGGCGACACCGTCCCTGTCCTGTACCCCCCCCCCCCCCCGATGTCTCCTTCCCAGAGGTCAATAGGTCACCTGCTCAGCTACGGATGAGGGAGGCAGACATTATCACAAGGCCCACGATAGATAGCAACCGTTTTTAATCGTGGCATTTTTACTTTTGAAAGTGCTGACCGAAATTTTCCAGTTTGGGCGGTCCGGTTTTTATCAGTTCGGGCCACAGAAGCCCAACGGGCGTCGCCTTAAAACTGTCCAAAGGGACAAGGTCACGCGTTAGTGTTTTTCGGTGAATGTGGCGTGTCTGGTTCATTTCAAACGAACGGACGGGCAGACCACAAGAAAAGACGAAACATTTATAAAACATAAGCACAAAACAAATCCGTGGCATCCTATGAAAGTATCACTGTATAAGGCAGACAAAAGCGTCAATAGAGCGGAAACAATTGGTGGTTACAATACCATCGTCGCCATCATTTCATATGCTTCATTTAGTTCAACCAATACGCACTAATAAAAGTATTGGTGGTTGCTAAAGTCTTTCCCGAGAAATTCGCCATGATACTTACCATTTCAGCCGTAACGTCTGATTCACAGGCTGACCTTGCTTCAGATTCCACGTCAAGCGACTCTTGACTTTCCTCTGTAACATAAAAATACATTTTGTAATTTAAAACATCTTATACCATTGCTGTCTCAAAGGACCAAGAAATGTCCCATTTATTGTAATGTTCCAGTTAAGATAGACATAAGAAATGTTTACCGTTTGCTAATCAGGCAAGCGGGATCAGAGGGAACGAGGGAAAATACTGCCGTGAAAACCAAGAAAAGCGTAACTCGAATTTTGGCGATTTTGAGATTTTTGTACCATCAGATAGAACATAGCCATCTCCATCTAGAGGGAACGAGGGAAAATACTGCCGTGAAAACCAAGAAAAGCGTAACTCGAATTTTGGCGATTTTGAGATTTTTGTACCATCAGATAGAACATAGCCATCTCCATCTTCCTACAACACCGTTTGTCAAAATTCGTATTAATAGATGGGTTATATCAATTTTTAATTTTCGAGAAAAGCGTAACTGTTTTACTGTCTCCCTAACCGCAAGCAAGAAAAGCGTAACTACAAACCCAGTTATTAAAGGAAATAGTTCACTTTCACGAAATTATTTTTTTGCAATGGATTTATGATTTTTTATGTTCAAAATGATCAGCAAAGAAAATAAAACCTATTTATAACAAAAGATTATTTTCTATATTTTGATATAAGAAGAACTTTTCAGTTTCTGTAAGGCACAGGCGATCCAGTATGAAAAGAGCATTGGTCCCGAAAATTCTTCAGAAACTAGAGAAATTATCGCGGCCACCGGCATTTGGGCGATCTGCTGCTGCTGAATGTCCTTATTGATCAGTACGAGAATTTCTCTAGTTCTCGTAGATAATTTCTCTAGTTTCTGAAGAATTTTCGGTACCCATGCTCTTTTCATACTGGATGCAAATATATGCAAGGCACACATCCTCAACGCAAGACACCTTTTTCGGGACGAGAAATAGAATATCTTTGCCTA